CCCTTAACACCCAAGGCGCCCGTCGAGCCAGCGCTCGGCACCCGCTGGTGCGCAGCAAACGCCTGTTGAAGGAATTCATCGCCAGCTCGCTGGACCGCCCAGGCCTGCGCCTACCCCCGGGGTGGGGGGCAGGGAAGGAGCTCTGCCACAGGTCGCGATCCCGGACCCAAGCCCGGCGATCCAGCCCAGCCCCACCAGGCCCTGGTTTTCCACGACCCCGCCCGGTGGACATGCGAGGAAACAACTCGAGTTCGGTCCTGCTTCTCTCTTCTCAGTCCCGACTCTCCATCTTTCCCGGACACTGGGGGCCGCTCGGTGCAGACCTTCGCCCCTCACTCGTCCCGCCTGCCCGCTCCCTGTCCGTTTAAATCGTTAATTCCGCTCCCTGGGCGCACTGGGGCCGCGCACTGCCAAGAAGGGCTCCCCTCCGCCCTCGCCGTCCTCTTTGATAGAGACAGTGGAAGCCGGGAGGTCGGAGCCCGCTCGCCCCTGGGGCGCCCCATCCACCCGGCTCCGCAGCGAGGCGCTGCCGTGGTCACCCGGGTTTCTGCAAATTCCCCTCCGGGTGGGGCGAAGCTCTGGCCCGAGGCTGGGGTGGGATCCTCCAGCTTGGGGTATCGGAATCCCCAATCCTTAAGGCCTGATCTGCCGGCGGGGACAGCCACCAGTCTGACCTTTAAAAGTTGGCTCTCGCATGACAATATTTTTGTGAGCAGGGAAGGAGATTTGTGGTGCCCAGGACTGCTGTCTGAATTTCTGTATCGAAATCTGAATCAATCAATATCTTTCTGTCTCTCCATATATATAATATATGGCGATATATATCACATAATAAATTTTCCCCTTGTTTTTCTTTCTGGCACGACCAGAAAAGGCAGGAATGGAAAGAAGCTGGAATAGCTTCTCCAGAGTTTGAGAGAGCTGGCCCGGGAAGTGAGTCCGTTCCACCTGTTAAACAGTTTGCAAGAAGGATGATAATGTCGGGAAAGAGGACTCGGATGCAATCCGAGCTGGAAGATTGACCCCACGCAGGCGGCCCGGAAGAGAAGAAAGGAGAGTGGGGTTTCCTAGAGAAGTCCTTCACCCAGATCCTACCACATACAAAACCAAATACCCTTTACTCACAACTTTGGGGTTCGGAAGAGCTGCAAGAAGTAGATCTTCTAGAAAATAAGGGTGGGATGGGAGGTGCCCTACACTTGTTACCCATTTATCACTCCCTGCCTGGACCCAGCGGGTGACTCCTTTCTCCCACCAGGGTTGACCACCTCTGCAGCCAGCAACAGGAGGGGGGGGCGGGGGGGGGGCTCGGGGACCATTGTCCTTCCCCGCGGTGTCCGGAGAAACTACGTGGGAGACAGGCAAAAACTGAGGGCAAGGGGCGATAAAATGTTCACCTCCCTGTATGTCCCTCACTGTTCCAAGTCCTCTAGGCATGCAAGAGGGGCCGGCAGGGCCCAGACGCGTGGGGGAAACTGATGAGTCCAGGGAGGAGACAGGTTCCAAGGAGGATAGGGAGGCGTTTGCAGAATCCAATGCTGGCCCCAGGTCAGAAACTGTGAGAATCTGGACCTGGCGTTTCTACAGCCCAGAGGGAGGCAGCGGGAAAGACCCGAGCAGAAGCAGGTCTCGTCCATCATGAGAGAGAGACCCGTGATCCTAATCGTGGGACAAGAAACTGGGACCCGCCAGCTTAGGGCAAGGTCCCTTTCTGAACCTATCTACCTACGCAGAAAAAACAAACAAACAAACAAACAAAAAACAACCCACCCAAGGCCCTGGGCCCATGCTGGACAGGACCTCGGCCGGCCGTGCTGGACGTGAGCCCTGAGGGTGCAGCCTCACACAAACAGGGCTCCCGCTGCCCAGAGCAAGGAGCCAGGGGCTTTGAGTTCCTCAAACACTGACCAGAGGCAGGAGCCGGGCTACCCAGCAACCCATCAGAGACTTAAGGGGGGTGGGCTCTACCTCCCTACCCCAGGGTGATCTTCAGGGTCTCAGGGGTTGCTCCCAGACTCTTTCCGAGCTTCTCATCCCAGGCTGATGGCTCCTCAAACAGACGAAGATCTTCAAGCTTGTCTGGAGAAGTCTGAGCCGAAGGTGGGCCCTGCCAGGCCACCCCAGAGCTGTGGAAGCCGCAAGGCTCTCATGGGACCTGCACCCCCTGCTCTGGGAAGCAGGACGAGAGTGACCACGCTGACAAGTCTGCCCAGGAGCGAACAGTGGCAGGAGGTGGCTGGGGCGGGGTGGGGGGCAGGGAGCGAGGAATAAGCCCGCCAAGAGACAATTTATTACATTACATAGTCAACATTTCCCTTAAGGGAGTGCACCTCACCCACCCACAAAAGAATATTCGGACTGCCTCCAAAACAAACTGGATTCAAACTCATAAAATGCCCCATCAGGTATGAGGCCGGGGCACCAGAGGGACCCAGGTTGGGGGACCCCTACATCTGTGCCCCAAAGTGCTCCGTCTATCATGGCTCAGGGTGAAGAAATTGAATACACCTATGTGTGTGCCCTGCGTTGTGCGGGGGGGGGGGGGGGGGGGGGATTGCAGGGGTGCAGGGTAGGGAGACCCAAACCTTCCAGTGTGGGGTTAGACCTTTGCTGGACAGCCTTTCTGTCCACTCTCCCAAGATTTAAACACCCACAGGCTTGGGATGACGCTTTTTCTTCCCTGAGGTCTAAGGGCATGTCCCCCACCCCCATGGACAGTTGTTAGGCCAGTGGCCCCCAGGTTCCAGAAAAGAGAATGGTGGTGTTTATGTGTGTGAGGGGACCACACCCCACCTATGCCCAGTTCTCTGCACCAACAGCGTGATGGCCAGCAGCCACATCTACTGGATGGGGATGAGTATGTCCTGCACACGTTCCCCCCTAAAAAAGCTGGACTCCAAGTCTTCAGGGATTGGGCCCCTCAATTTTAGCCACTGCTTCCTTCAACAGGCCCCAGAACCGGGGCAAGACAAAAGGAAGGGCAGACCAGCCCCTCCTGGTTCAGCATTGCCTCTGCTGGGCAGCCCTGGGACGAGAGTCCCACTCTCTACTTCACTGATTTCTCCACAGCTGGAACCCAGACTTGAGCCCCAATGAACTGTAGCTCTGAAGGCAAGTTCTGAGCATTTTAGGAAATTGAGTTCCTGATGTTGAAATAATCAAAGTTGCCTCTGAGCAAGAGAAACAAAACGTGAGACATCTAAGAGTGTGTGCTGAGCATCCCAAGAAAGACTGTCAGAGCAAAGCGGACTGCCCTTTGCAGTCCTGGCAGGCCACCTACGGACCACAACTATTAAAGCATGGAGGTACTGGGTGACACCGCAGGGAGTCACACACCGCCTTCCGCCCCCTCACACGCTCCCCTTACTCCCGCAGAGCTACAATCCGTCTAAGGACTTGGAGTGCCTTTGCCAGAGGCTGTGTTTCTGTTTCTGCCGGGGCTGAGAATGCACTCCTTGCACTCCCTCCTTGCCCGTGGTGGGCTGGGGGCAGTGAGGGCAGCAGCAAACCCCAAAGCCTTCTACAGACACATCTAGGTCAGCAGGAAACCTCCCAAGGCGCGGTGCAGACGTGGAACTGTTTGCCAGCAGTTAACAGGGAAAGACACAAAGGATTAACTGCAGGATATAGTCAGAGCACAGCCTACCTAGATTTGGGTGAAGCTATCCCCTTCTAGTTCCCTCTCAAAAACTTCCCAGGAAGCCCAGGACACACGCTCGCCAGCTTGCCCTTTGAGGTATGGCCTAGGCAGAATCCTTGCCGGGAAAACCCAGGGCGCAGGAGGGCGCGGGAGGGCGCGGGATGGCGCAGGAGGGGGCAGCCTTGCGCCCTTCTGGTTCGTAGGTAGACACCATTATTTTATTTACTTAAAATAAGCCTTGAGGGCGTGGCTACCGCTCCACTAAAGAAATCGCGGTTGGAAGCACAGTCCCTTGGCAAGCGGAGTGAGGAAACCTTTCCCTCTCGACGGTGCGCAGGGGTGTTCCGCAAAGCCCGCTAGGGTAAGGCAGGACTCACTAGGCGCCCGCTGTGCGCGCGCGATGCCCCGGGACCTGCTCCTGCCTCTGCACGGATTGTCCACCCAAGACACTGTTTGGGAGTGCGGGACAGAGGAAGATTCCCTCCGGGAAAAAGCCTGAGCGCGCACACCCAAACACACGCAGAGACCTGGGAATAAACACGCCTTGAGCTCCCGCAGTCTTGCTAATATCGGGCGCTGGAAAGAAAGTGGGTGGGCGAGCAAAGTGCACCCTATGTGTCTCCCCTGCCGAATCCAAGCCGTCCGGAAAGTATGTCCTCGCGTGCGCAAAGGCTGTACCCCGAGTTCACAACTTCGTCCCGGCGCTTCTCCCTCCCCTGCATTCCTCGGCTAGCTGGAACATGGCGAGTTGACTTCCTCACTGGAAGAAGCAGGCAGTCCCCAGCGGCGCAGGCTGCGGGCGCCGCGGGCAGCAGCGGCTGAGGACGCACCAGGCGCGCACGCCCAGCGCGCGGGGACAGAGCGTGTGGCCTGGGCTTCGGCGCCGCCAGCCCCGGGGGCGGGGGACGCGCTCTCCAACTTCCCGCCAGCTGGGGTGAAGTTGCACTAGCGGTACTTCGAGCTTTGACCGTAACCCCAGGAAAGAGGATGATTTATGGGAACCACCCCAGCCCTCAGGCCTGGCCTGCAGTTCGTTCCCCTGGTGTCCCCAGACAGCACTCTCCCAACGGTCCTAGAAAAGCCATGGGCTGGAGATGCGGGGTTCGGTACCCTCGGCTGGCCTCGAGCACGATCAGAAGGCTTTCACTTTCGGCCCCCAAAGCCAAGAGCCAGGCCCTTTAAACGCACTCTGGCCAGTGACCCTGCCCTGTGACCGCCTCTGCGCCGGGGCCGGCGGCCCCTCGCCCCTCCCGGCCTCTCCGGTCCAGGCTACACGCAGCGTCCGACCCGCCCCGTATCGGCCACGGCTGCTGGCTGTCTTGTTATTAAATTAAATCAGCGAGAAAGGGGGGTGTCTTACGTTGCATCGGCACACCAAGCATCTCCGGGAGCCCCTTGACAGCCCCCTCCGCGGGGACAGCTGCGCTCTGCATCATCTCGGAGCGAGAGCCAGGGAGTCGCAGTCTACGGAGATCTCTTGCTCTCTCGCTTAAGCTGGATTCAGAAATTTGAAAATAATAATAAAAAACCCAACCAGGCCGCCGAAGTCACGGTGGAAGCCGGACCCTCCGCCTCTCCGGGAGGATTCCACAGGCTGGCTGGCCCCCTCCCCCCGCCAGTCCTCAGTCTGTTTCAAATCCCTTTGATCTCGCTCTCCTGGGTAGGTGCACATCCCGGGTAGAGGAGACGCTGTTGCTGCAGCTCTGGCTTTTTTCCCCTCCTCCTTCCCCCGCCCGCTTCTCTCCCCCTCCCCCTCCCCCTCCACCCTTCGCGTGCCGGCCGCCCGGGAGGCCGCGGTCACCCAGGCATTTTGATTCATTCACACTGCAGGAACGGCCGTGACGTCGCTTTCCGCAGGGAGGCCCGCCCTCCAGCCAATCCCCGCGCCCGGCAGAGGACCGCGGACCCGGCCGGAGCGGGGGGTCCCGGTGCCGGGAGTGTGGAGGGCCGCGCGGGGGGGGCGGGGCCGCACAGGACGGGGCGGGGCCTCGCGGGACGTCGTGTCCCACCCCCACCCGCTCCCGGCCCTGCGCCCAGCCGTGCGGGATCGCGCCCCGGGTATAAATACTGCGGCGGGCACGGCCCCAGCAGCAGGTGCTCCTGGACGGCGGAGCCTCGGGCTTGCAGGTTTCCGCGGGTCCTGCGGGGGTTTCGGACTCGGCCGGTGGCTCATGTGCCACTGCCCCTCCATTCGGACCAAAGGATGGGGAAGGGCGTGGCAGACCCTCCGAAGGCCCGGGCCGCACGGCAGTCTTCGCTCGCGCGCTCTCGGTTCCGGGCTTCTCTCCGCCCGGGACTCCAGCCTCCATCCTCTAACGCCTCCTCTTCTCCTCTAGCCAGTTCCTTTCCCGCCGGCGCTTCTCAGCCCTTGCTCTCGCTCCCCCGCGTCTGGCTGAGGCGAGACCAGGGACAGCCCGCACTCGGCCAGCAAGGGTCGAGCCGCGCCGCGGGCGGCGGCGGGCGGGGGAAGGCGGCGGGGGGCTGCGCGCCGAGGGGGCCGGGCGCGGACTCCCGATGCGCGCCCCCGCTCGCCGCGGCCTGCCGCTGGGAATCCGCGCTTGCCTCCTCCTTGGCCCCGACGGGTCCCCCAGCCTTTTGGCTGCGGGCTGCCGGCGCCGCTCTGCCCACGCCGGCTCCGCTGGGTCCTGTCCTCGGTCCCCAGGGACCGCACTGCCTCGCCTGCTGCAGCTGCGGGCGCTTTGAACAGTTCGGACCTCGTGCGTGCGGGGCGGCAGCGCGCACGCGGACACCCGGGCTAACCGAGGAAGGCGCGTGTGTTGCTTATTGTATTTACAAGGCACACTTGCACACTTAAATCCCGACCAAGGTCCTGGCGGAAATAAGACAGAAGGCCCACCTCTGGGGCAGGTCGCCGCCAGGGTTCTCTAATGCTTCATCAGTGTGCTCGACGCCGCTTAGCTGCCGGTGCGGGAAGCCCACCTCCCCTGCCGCGGGACCCAGAGACTCCATGGATCCCACCCCCGCGACACCCCCATCCTGAATTCGTTCCGGAGATCTAGACGGATGTGCCCTCCCAGCCAAGTCAAGTCCAGCTCGGGCGGGGAAGGAGACGGTGTGCCCCTCTCCAACCTAATAGAGCGTCCCCCGCTTTTTCTCCTGGCGTTGTCTCTAAACAAGGGACACCAGGCGCGGTGAGGGATGAATGTGAAGGTGGGGGAGGAGGGCATGGTCGTCTATTCTTAGAATTTGTCTTCGATGAAGTCACAGTGACTTTTCTGTCTCCTGGGACTGGGTTGGCATCATCTCTTGCCCTGTTGACCTGCGAGGTGACTCCAATGTGCAAGAAACCCGGCAACATTTTCGGTGTTTACCAAAACAAAAAAAATTTTTTTACAAAAATGTAACTAGCAAACACGGGAAAATGCCACCCTCATTAGCAACCAAAGACACGTAAAAGGAAACATCATAGTACATACTTCTGTTTTGTGTGTTAAACAACCAGCTAAGGTGGGAGGAATCCTAGAATTTGGCGCTAGTGAAAGTGCTTTGAAACTGGTGCTTTCACCATACTGTTACTGTGCTAATAAACTCTTAAATCCGTTAGGAAAGCAATTTGGCAATATGTATCAAACCCTATAATTTGTTCATATCCTTTAGCTCTTATAATTCCACTTTTGAGTGTGTGTTCCACAGAAATAATCTAAAGTGGAAAAAAAAGATTTCATACCTGAAGATGCTTATTATAGTATTATGGCTTGGAGGGGGGGGGGAAACCTCTGCTATCAAACAGAAGGGAAGTAGCTTAGTAAAGTAGATTAAATTTGCGTTGTAATATGTTATACAGTTATTGAAACTATGAAATCTAGCAACATGGGAATACTTGTGAAATACTAAAATCTTAAAAGCATGATACAATATGATTATAAGTTTTCCAAAATGTTAGTCAAAGATAAAAGCAGTGTTAATACCCATTGTTGGCTAGGGTGTGGAGAAATCAGAAAACAATTTTCTGGTGGGGATGCAACGAGGAACAATGTCTTCTGAGGGCACTTTGGCAATATATGTTACAGTCTAAAAATGTGATGGATTTGACCCAATCCATAGAGAAATTTAGTCACAAGAAATAATCAGGAATATTTATAAAGAGGTAGTTGCAAGGATGTTTATAAAATTTTGGAAGAGAATAAATTACATATCCAGCAATAGGGGATTATTAAATAAATTAGAGTAAATAAAATAGAATGTATATTGTCATTAGAAAATACAACAAAAATATTTAATAATGTAGGATAGTGAGGTTTATTAGACAAAGAGTGAATATGAGGCAGTATGAACTGTAGGGTTCTTTTAACCAGCACAGATAGAAAATATATGTTAAAATATAAAAGTGGTTACCTACACAGTGGATATTTTTATTATCTTAGTTTTCCTTTTTTAAGTTTTCTAAATTATTTTATAAAGAGAAAAAAAAACTAATAAAATTGCTTCAAAAACATTGAGAAAACACTGAAAGGAAATATATCAAAGTGCTCTTTAAAAACCCATTGGAAGAGGAGTGCCTGGGTGGCTCAGTGGGTTAAAGCCTCTGCCTTCAGCTCGGGTCATGATCTCAAGGTCCTGGGATCAAGCCCAGCAGGGAGCCTGCCTCCCCCTACTCTCTGCCTCTGCCTACTTGTGATCTCTCTCTCCCTGTCAAATAAATACATAAAATCTTTTTATTAAAAAAAACCTATTGGAAGAAAAGTAAATTAGGGAGATGTATTATGAATTTTTTTCTTTTTTTCTCTTTCCCAGATTTTCTATAAACTGGTAACATTTTTTTCAGTAATATTAGTAAAAGAGAAAATATTTATATGCAGTGAAATGTCAAGCATATGTGGTAGTGACTTTTATCATTAAAAATTTTATTTTGGGGGCGCCTGGGTGGCTCAGTGGGTTAAGCCTCTGCCTTTGGCTCAGGTCATGATCTCAGGAACCTGGGATCAAGCCGCCCCCACATTGGGCTCTCTGCTCAGCAGGGAGCCTGTTTCCCCCCTCTCTCTCTGCCTACATCTCTGCCTGCTTGTGATCTTTCTCTGTCAAATAAATTTAAAAAATCTTTAAAAATAAATAAAAATAAATAAATAAAAATTAAAATGCTTTCTGCACCTCCTGCTCCCCTCGTATGAGCTTGCACAGGTCCTGCCCTCTTTTCACTGCTGGTCACTAGCCTGTCACTGGGGGAAGGGGCAGCACGACTGTGGGGGACGCTTGCCCAGCGCTGACTCAGCAGATGCCTTTCTCACCTTTATCCAATGACAGAGGAGCCCCGGGAGGCCCACTTGGTTCTCAGTTCTTCAACTTGTGGGCAGCAGCTCCCCGGCACCCCGCTGCATCCCCACTCACACACCCACTGTTCCTCGGCCAATAAATGTCCTTACCACGTTCGGAGACTTTTCTAGAAGTATGAGCTAGGTTCCATTCCCAACATCTTCCACTCACAGCGTGCATCTGCCAAAGCACTCACATCCTTCCTGCGGCCTCCACTTTCCCATCTGTAAATGATGCAACCCCCATGAAAAGCTTTCCTTGAGTAGATATTCTAGTGCCTTCGGCTGCTGATAGCAATGGGAACATCCAGTGGTAATAACAGCCACCAACATTTACTGACAGTTTGAAACTGTGCCAGGCACCCAGGTAAGTGCTTCCACCTACATAATCCATCTTTTTCCTCATAACAATTCAATAAATGGTATTGTCATACCTCTCTGAAGGATGAAAAAGCTGAGGCTGACAGGGGCTAAGGTAGTCTCTCCCCCCACAGAACAGGCGGAATGGCTGCATCCCACCGGAAGCTTCTCTGGTGGGTCTGTGTGGAGCTGACAGAGCAGGGGTCTTCTTAGTGAAAGCCACCCAGGGCTGGCAGGTGACCCACCAGGGGCGATAGTCTTTGGGGCAGACCTGAGGCTCTCAGCTACAACTCCGTTGGAGGGTGGGCACCAGAGGACGGCTCAGTGGTGATGGGGCTTTCCCCGGGTCTAAGTTCTGCCAGGGCAGTCGGTTAGTAAGAGTTTCTGGTGCTTTCTGGACATCTACACATTATGTTTGTGGGAACCGGACTCGACATGTCAGTGGATCCAGTTCTGAAGGAAGAAGCTCTAGAAACCCAATTCAGGAGAACGATTATAGCTTGCAATTGTCTAGCACTTGACAATTTACAGAGTCCCTCTACATATTTTATCTCACCTGATCTCATAATCGTGCTGGGCTTCGGTATGATTATCAGGAAACGGAGAGGTTAAGTGGTTTGCCTAAGGTCACGCTGCTAATAAGTTGCAGAGCCTGCTGGAGATTAAATCCAGCCTTTGACTCCCACTCTGGTGCTCTTCGCACTCTATGCAGCAGACTTCTAACCCTTACATTTTAGGAGCTCCACAGAATGGGTGAGTTCACCCTCAAATGCCAGGAATTCCGAACCCCAGCTTCCTTCTCCACT